TGGACTGTTTTCATCGGAGTCCTGAGTGACGCGCCAAAAGCGCACGCTGGGAGTGGAGCACAGGGGTGAGACAGAAACTACACGCGGCACGAATCTGTTTGGTCTGATACATTTGGAGTGCAGATTTCCTACACCTACTTGCGAGCGGGATGAGATATCACCACCCAAGTCTGAATCTCCAGTCCTGCAACCATGTTCCGACAAGTGCTGTAATTGACGTCGAGCGCAGAGAGCCACAAACAGCACGACGGCGGAGTAAACTAGCAGCTTTAGTGCTGTGGAATATTGCCAATATACCGCTACCACTGGCAAGCCAGACCCTGAAATAGGCCGAGTAGCCTGAGGGAGTAAACCTGAGTTGTTTATCGGGTTAGAGGACCACTCATAGTGCAATTCCTCCCCCATGAGTGCCAATTAAGGAGCTCAAAGGAGTCAGAGCCCTGCAGTGTGTGGCCCCTTAACAAAGGGCTTGAATTGAGGAGTTGGAAAGGTAACGCGCTTGCCCAGACGCTTCAAAGAGGATCTGGTGCTATAGAGGTGGGGTATTTCCAAGGTTTTATACAAAAGGAAACGAATTACGAGTCCTGACACCCCAAGCGGCTCTAAACGAACACAAAACCAACGGGCATCTGGGGTGGGAGGGCCGTCCTTGTCGTACCCTAGGGATGCATTGTTGGCCAGAGAACATTGCCAGAAGAAATGTTTCATCGCGTTGCTGCCTAGCTACTTGCTGGGGACGGGTGTCCGAACGGACAGGTGCCCCCTGGGTCCTGTCCGTTCACGACACCCGTCTCCAGGCACCGGTAGTCCCCAGAGGCATGCTATGGCTGCTGCTTCTCTGAAAGCCTGCGGAGTTTGTGATGCTTAGTTACTCAACGAGTTTTCAAGATTTTCACGAAGTATTATAAACACTTTAATGCCCCCTAGAAGCGCCCTAGAGTAACATATCACGACACGTCCCTGCAGTGGGCGCGCAGACTTGCAATCGGTTTCGCAAAATAAGGCTTGTGCAAGGTAGCTCGGGACTATCTGAGGTGAAGCGTAACACCATTCCTCCACGGAAAGTTGTTCAAAAGGAAAATGGCTCGGAAGCGGCCATTCTAACACTTTGTGTGCAGTAGGTATGGGAGTCCGGACAATGGTGAGGGCCGACGGTCAGGGAGGCAAAAGCCAACACTTGCCGTTAAAAAGTGTTTTACTAGAGGGCAAACAGCGGCTTCCCTAATTACATTATGTCTGAAACGAAATATTAGTGAGAAGTTGGTGCGGGGGACATTGACATAACGTGAATCATGAGGTGTGTAGCGTCCCCTCGAGAGCAAAGGATCTCATTGAAGATCGTCGCATCTCAATTCTGAGCGCGCAAACCGCACAAGAATGGCTTAAAAGCCTTTCAAATAGCGCTTCTGTGTGCTTCATCTGTTGACGCCTATGCTCAGGGTAGCCCAGTAGCCCCACAAGCTTAGTTCTACTGCCTCACTGTCGTTGCCAAGCGTGACTTTAATTTTGAGCAGCGCAATAGGAGTTGAGCTCCATAATAAGGGGGCAAAACCGGCCTTCAAAAATTCGAGTGCACAGAAGAAAAACTTATTTGATCCAAGCTCATAATGTGGCAGGACAGCGCTCCGGCAAAACTCAAGTCACAAGACACTTTCACAAAGCCCACATCTCCGGTTTCCAGCTACTCCGACCACGGTGGGCATATTCAGCGCAACCGAAACAACCAGTTCTGCAAATTTGAGAGAGCCCAACTACCTGCTTTGATATAATCACTATTATCAAGCGTTTTGGTTGACGGTAAGTTGAGTGGAGGAGAATAGAAGGCAAACGTAGCAAGTACGGAAGCCAGAACCTGTGCTGGAAGCCAGCTAGCGGCTGTCCTGTCTAGGCAACGCGCCGGAGAACCAGCAGAGTCAGATTTCCTGCCAAATCGCCTCCAATTTTCCGTAAATTTCCTTTGTGCAATTTTTTAAAGACGTCTCGAGTCCTTTATGCACCTGGAAACATCGGCGGAGCAATGTTCTGCGAACAGTGTGATGCTGGGAGACAGGCGTCCACAGCCAATTCAGCTAGCCCTCCCGCTAACCAGCACGGCCTACAGGCCCAATATGCACCAGATCTCAAAAGGGACAGCTCTAGGTACTTGCCGAGGCCCTAACGTAAGGGTCTCCCGCCGGGCACTGAGGTTCGGTTGCGATGCCGGGCATAGACTGAGTATGTACTCGGTCTGCGTCGCCAGAAACCGAGCCACCTTGGAAAGAGAACGCACACGCCACAGGGAGCTCTGCAGCAGGAAGTAAGAGAGAAACAGATGGAGGAATGTAATGTTCAGAAAGAAGCCCTGAGCGACTGCGTGAGGTGTGCTGATCTAAAGGGCGCTGCACACGAGCAAATTGCACGAGGCGCTGGGCAGAAAACGTTTCGGCGTGTTGCTCTGTGAGCGCACTGCAAAGGGAAGACCGCTTTGAGTTGTATGTCTCCACAATAAGGAAGTCTGTAGTGCACAAGCAGTCCCGTACCCGCAGTGAAGTTCGCTACTGCGTAACTACTTCTGCACGAACAAGCGAACACAAAGGGCTTGTGGCTCATGCCATGCATCAGTGATTTATGAGGCTTATCACTGAACTCAAGTCCTCTAAAATACAGTGGTTTACTCGGAGGTACTCGAGGGTCTCGGTTTCTCAGCAGAAATGTTCGGCAGAAAAAAAAACAAGATTTCTCGGGCATTATTTGCTCTTCAAATATAATTGTAACGGTGGTGCAGTAGACCTGCAACCCTAGCTACGATTCGCACAGGGCAACTCCTTTGTGTCAAATATGGAGCTCATTGCAGTATATGATATAGAGCTCATTGCCGAAGGCAATGAGCTCTATATCATATACTGCAACCCGAGACCTCACTTCTACGTTTGCAGGAATTGTAATGGAGTCAAAGTAAACGCGCGACCCTCGTGTTTGCGGTGTAGTTCAAATGCCAAGCCTTCCTGTGTTCGGCCAAACAATGCATGTGGTCAAGTCAGCACATTCGGACGTAGCCTTTCCCATTACCTTTGCCAGTTCGGCACGTTTTTCATTTAAGCACAACAGTGAACAAAACGGACTAACTCAAGGCCCAATAAATGCCTTCAAAGAAGCTTTGCCTAGGTCCCAGCAGCCTGCTTTTCTAGCACTGTAGAAAAACGGTCTGCTTGGCGCATTGGCACTGCAGCACAAAAGTATCAGCCCTGCATTGCTACGGGCTCAGCAATAGACTCGAGAATCAAGTGAGGTTTATATCTTCTGCAGCTGGTACAAATGCCACTGCTGCAGCAGGAATCGCCAAGGCGGTCTGTTTGCTTTCCGTGCCTACGCTCGCTTTTGCAGGCGGTTCACCTGGTGCATTTGTGGATTTTTCGCGGCCGAACAATGATTTTCTCTGCAATACTTTATCAGAATGCCGTTGATGCAAGGCTTTAGGTGCTCCTTTGAGAGAGCCTGCCTCTTCGGACATTTCACTCTTGGTGCCTCTGCTGGTTCCTGCAGTTGCTACATCTGAAGCAGCTGCTGTTGCAACTTCTCCAACTGTCGCCTGAACTGTGAACACTGGGTCAGCGAACTCATTCGCAGAAGAACCGCAGGCACGATTGCCTGCTTGAATTGCTACATTTGTTTTCGGCTCCCTTCGTTCGCCGTCCCGTTCAGCGCTATCGCTTCAATTTGCTTTGGTCCCTGCATCATATTGGACAAAATCTCTTGCATTGCGTGTTAGCTTTACACGAGGCGTCAACGGAAAGCTCAAGAGGCAGCAGTGTAGAGCAACAAAGCAACCGCGAAAAAAATGGCAAGCTGAAGGATCACCAAATATCTTCAAAGAAACTTTTCCTGTGCAGGCTGCAGCAGCTGGCTTTTCTAGCTCCGAAAGATAAAATTCTGTTCGGCCGTTGGGCACTGCAACACAAACAAACAAGGCCTGCGCGCCTGAAGACTCAGCATCGCACTTAAAAAAGCAACTTGTGCAGCAACACTGTGCACACTCAAAGGAAGATCAAGTTGCGAGCAAGACGTTGAGAAGTGTAAGACAAGAACGCAAGCAAGTCCGGCTTGAAGCTTCAGATCCACCTACTTCCTTTCCTTCCGGCGTAATCTAAAACGTCGAGGCTCAGCTCTTCCGTTAGTGCCAACAAATCGCGTACAAACTGCAATGTCATTACCACCCACAACAACGCATTGCCAATGGCCCCAACTGTGGCTGAACGCGCCTTTGCAGCACGAGGGCTGGAAGACTAACCCTCTCAGGAAACCGTCTGCTAAACGGATTGTCAGAAAATAGTCTTCCTCTAAGTTTGCCTAAGGAGCTTTGATTTTTCATTTCCTGCAGGGAACTCGCAGATACGCCAAGCACAGCTAGCACTGCTCCAGGTATTGCTCTATAACCAGGCACTCATCTTTCCAAATTGCTGTTTACCTCCCTACTGGTCCTTGCAGGCACAAGTAGCGCGTGATGTGAGTAGTCTGCAAGGTACTTACTTCCTCCACAATCTCAATATGCAAGGTCACAGTACCAACGCCGCATATATCACAGTCCGCCTCGACCGTGGCTGCAGAGACCCCCAATATACGCAAGAGAGGGCAATAGAAGTTAACGCCAAGCATGCAAGTCACATTTTAAAGAGCTCTCAGTGTACGGAAATTTCGGAGCATGCGTATCTGCATTGGCTCATACAGGCGCTGCCGGTGCTACTGCAGCTGTTGCTTCGCATTGATTCAAGCCGAATCAGTGACTGGCTCGGGTATCTTACCTCGAAATGGTTCGCTATGGGGAGAGCAGAGGTTACCCATGGATCCCTCAAGCTTCAGTAGCTCTTGTCGTAGGACTTTATACTTCTGAAGTGGGCAAGGCACAGGACGCGCACAGCGTCTAGGGGGCTGCTCGAGCAGCGTTAACCAACGATAACTTAAACAACGCTCATTGAACCCCATGAAGGGGGGCATGCATAGGAACCATGCTCATGTTTTGTTGCTGTTGCTATGTTGTGGACCTACGTCTGCCTTCAGACTCGGAAAGTCATAAGGTTTTCCCAAATCGTTATAATGGGGAGAATTCGGATCCCAGAAGGCCAATTTCGATCTATAACGCCTGCTTTCCTCAGGTTGAGATGCCTTTGAGCTGCTGGCAGCAGCCTCACCTGCTAGTCCTCCTACTCGTGGGTTTGCTGCCACGTCAGGTTTTCCTGCGACGCTAGTTATTTTCTTGCCGGCAGTTTCCAAGAGGCCAGCCAGCGGCCCCATCCACCTCGAACGCCCTTGCCTTTCCACTTTATGTTTCTCAGCTAATTCTCCAGCAGCTGCATGAGCATCGTGCGGCTCGGCGCTTGTGGTCTCGGCATTTGTCACGGTACTCTCTTGATTACTACGTACAATGTCATAAACAAGATGGTCGAATTTGCTGTCGGATTCGTCATCCTTGTCATCTGCTGCTGCTTCTGGAGCTGCTGCCGCGGCATCGCCAGATGCTTCGTCTTCACAGCTGTCGCTGACGCCTTCCTCCGCTGCTCCTGTTCCTGGAGCTTGAGTTCTTGCTGCTTCCGACTGTGGAGGAGACTCGTCGTGTGCGTCTGTTGATGTTTGACGGTCATCAAACTTCAGGTCTCCAGATGGACTGTTTTCATCGGAGTCCTGAGTGACGCGCCAAAAAGCGCACGCTGGGAATGGAGCACAGGGGTGAGACAGAAACTACACGCGGCACGAATCTGTTGGGTCTGATACATTTGAAGTGCAGATTTCCTGCACCTACTTGCGAGCGGGATGAGATGTCACCAACCAAGTCTGAATCTCCAGTCCTGCAACCATATTCCGACAAGTGCTGTAATTGACGTCGAGCGCAGAGAGCCACAAACAGCACGACGGCGGAGTAAACTAGCAGCTTTAGTGCTGTGGAATACCCGACCACGGGCAAGCCAGACCCTGAAATAGGCCGAGTAGCCTGAGGGAGTAAACCTGAGTCCCGATTATTTGTCGGGCTAGC